GTTCTGTTGTCCATCCCCCAGGGGGGAGGTTATATGTAGATTCTTGTAATCGGCTCCCCCTCCTTTTGCTTTTGCTATGTAGGTAACGTGGATCATCTGAGTTACGTGATGAATCTGTCACCATACACCCCTTGTTTAGAATGAAGTAGAATCACTGGAATTGGGAGAATTGAGTGTGACCTTGAAATTTTTAGAATGCTTTTATTATTACCTACCAGCTATCATTGATAATTCATGGAAGTAAAATTTGCCAAAGATAATTCAACAACAGTTCCAGCAGTGCATTGACAGGAAGCTGCCAGAAAGTCAGGATAAATTCAGAAGAGAATTTGGAACAAGGGATACCATTGCTGATGTCAGATGGATCTTGGCTGAAAGCAGAGAATACCAGAAAGATATTTCAAAAAAATTCACTGCCACTAAGTGATTCCTACCCCACTGTGACTGTATAGGACAGGACAGAACTGCTCTTGTGGATTTGCAAGACTGTGACTCTTCTGGGAGTCGAATGCTCGGTCTTTCTCCTATGGAGCAGCTAGTGGTTTCAAACTGTTGTGTGGGTAGCAGCCCACACATAACCATGACACCATCCGAGCTTCCCTGAAAGATGTTTCCTTGTGTTTTATTGACCATGTCAAGGCATTTGGATCATAACAAACAATGGATAACCGTGAGAGGAATGGGAATTCCAGATCACTTTATTGTGCTCATGCAGAACTTGTACATGGCTCGAGAGGCAATTATACGAACAGAACAAGGGGATGCTGCATGGCTTAAATCAGGAATGATGTTCGTCAGGCTTGTATCTTCTCACCATACTTATTCAGTCTGTATGCTGAGCAAATCCTCAGAGATGCTGGATTATATGAAGAAGAGTGTGGCATCAGGATTGGAGAAGACTTATTAATAACCTGTGCTATGCAGACGACACAGTCTTGCTTGCTGAAAGTGAGGAGGACTTGAGGCACTTGCTGAGGAAGATCTATGATTGCAGCCTTCAGTAGGGATTACATAGGTACTTGTGATAAATGTAGATAAGATTGAAGTTGTAGGGATTTTGTCTTGCTTGCATTCACAATCAATGCTCATGAAAACAGCAGTCACAAGATCAGAAGATGCATTACATTGGGTAAATCTGCTGCCCAGGACCTCTTCAAAGCATTGAAAAGCAAGGGTGTGACTTTGAGGACCAAGGTGACCTGAGCCACGATCTTTATAACTGTGTCACATGTATGTGCAAGTTGGACAAGGAAAACCAAAGAAGAGTCTCTGTACAGTGTTTGCATTGTGGTGCTGGAGAAGAGCAGTGAAAATGCCCTGGCCTCCTAAAAGGATACACAGGCCTGTCTTGAGAGAGGCATAGCTGGAGTGCCCCTGAGAGGCAGGGATGCTGAGCCTTCATCTCGGATACCCCGGGCATGTGGTCCGTCGAGACCAGGCTGGTAAAGAAGAAGGTAGTGAAAGAGAGGAAGGCCTTCAGTGAAGTGGTTTGGCACCGTCACTGCAGCTCCAACAACGGCGCAAGCGTAGGAACAATTGTGATGAAGGTGCAGAACTGGGCAGTGTTTTGTTCCGTTGTGCTTTGGGTCAGAACTGACTCCATGGCTTCTGACAACAGGAACAAGAACCAAACCCTTAACGGGATGAAGTAAAACTTGTATATGTGTACATTTCCATATAAGTTGGAGAAGAAAGTATATGAAAATGTCTTATTTTGAGTTATGTACAAATCAAAGTCAGTTAGGTTATCATTTGAGTCATTAATGAGTGAACAAATCTTTTTTAAAAACAAAACAAATGGTAACAATTACTAATTTATTGTTAGCATAGTAATGTAATCGTTGCTCTCCAGCCCTTGTTGACTTTGTCACCTACTTTTAAGGTAATAAATACTCTGTTACCATGAAGAGGATCTTTGTTTACTCTAATAACAAGATGCTGGATGAAGATTTGAATACTCAAATAGTTACCTCCCTGCAGTACCAGAGAGCTTCCAGAAAGAAATCAACCTGAACTTTGGGCTACTTTCTTCTTTTTTCTCATAAAATGATCTAGTTAGCTTTTAGCCTTGGATTGGGAGCTTGTATTATGTTAGGGATAGTTATTGTGATTTGAAATATAGTATAATTATTATGTTGCAAAATTTATTTACATCTATATAGCACAATAGCATGATATTCTAAAATGTGTGAAGCTCCATGAATATACTATATAATTAGGATAGGAATTAGGTTCCAATTCTAAGTTTTATTCTGAATTTTCTTTCCTTGATTAAGTTTTTTCTATCATTACCTTCCATATCTGGAATATTGGGAGATGTGTTATCTAAGTTCTGGGTTTGTTAATGAGATAAAGTATTTTAACTACTTTAACCACAGCTTACCTATAATGTTTACTAGTTCTTTAGTTTTGACACTGAATTATCCTTGAGATTATTCTATTAAACACTATACCTGAGAACAAATTAAATACTACATTTTCTTTAATAGTGAATTGTATTATAATGAAAACTGTGGTGACTCTCATATGAAAGTCAATTTTACGTTACTGTTTCTGATATTAACAAAGGTATATTGTGCCTTATATCTTGTTATGGTAAGTTTGTTTTGTTATAAGTTTTCATTGCATATAGCAACGTTTTACAAGAAGCCAAAGAAGATTCATAAAACAGGATGAGAATAATTAGAAAGCTGATATGCTGAGCAGCTAATCTGAGAAGCTGGGCTATATGAAGAACGGGGCATCATTATTGGAGGACGGCTCCTTACCAATCTTCAATATTCAGAGGACACAACCTTGCTTGATGAACGTGAAGAGGACTGGAAGCCCTTATTGATGAAGGTCATGACCACAGCCTTCAATGTGGGGTACACCTCAATGTGAAGGAACCAAAAATCCTCACAACCAGGCCAATAGATCATGAAAAACAGAGAGCAGATTTAAATTGTCAAGGGTTTCATTTCTCTTGGATCCACAATCAATGCTCATGGAAGCAGCAGTGAAGAAATTAAAGGGCATTCAGCATTGAGAAAACCTGCAAAAGCTCATGGAAGTGTTGAAAAGCAAGTATCTTACTTTGAAGAATAAGGTACATCTAACCCAACTCATGATATTTTCAAGGGTCTCATTTTTGCATGTGAACACTGGACAATGAATAAGAAAAACAGGAGCATTGATTTATGAGTATTTGAATTGGAGTGTTGTTGAAGAATATTAAACATACCATTTACTATCAGAAGAATGCCTCTTAGTAGTGAGCATAGGAAGACTGTGTCTCCTGTGCTTGGAACAAGTTATAAGGAGGAATTAGTCCCTGGCGAAGGACATCATGCTAGATAAAGTCAGAGAAAAAGAAGAACGAAATTAATTGGCACAGTGGTTGCAACAATGGCCTTCAACAATGTGAGGATGAAGCAGAATGGTATGAATCCGTTAGATTTGACAGCACCTACCAACATGTGCCCAAATAAAACCATCATAGCGATAACTCCTTTCATTTTCTGCCCTGCAAAGTTGTGCTGCTTTTAAAAGGTAAAATTAAAATGTAATCTGAACTCCGAGCACTACAAATGAACTACTTTTCTCTGTGTTCCTTCAGTCCATAATCTGTACCCAGACATTCATTTCACTATAAAATATTAAAAGCAATGCTGCAGGGATCTGTCAAGCATTGGACTGGAGGTCCAAACTAGAGCATAGGGCTCCTGGTTTAGGGCAACTGAGGGATATTCATATCAATCTCCACTTCAAAATTGGTGCATAAGCAAATGTGGTGGAGAAAGCTGATGGTGCCCAGCTATCAAAATATGTAGTGTCTGGGGTCTTAAAAGGTTTGAAGATAAACGAGCGACCATCTAGCTGAGAAGCCACAAAGCCCACAAAGAAGAAGCACACCAGCCCGTGTGATCAAAAGGTATTGATGGGATCAGGTATCAGGCATCAAAGACCCAGAACAAAAAAATCATATCGATGTGAATGAAGGGGAGTGCGGAGTGGAGACCCAAAGCCTATCTATAGGCAGTTGGACATCCCATTACAGAAAGGTCACAGGGAGGAGACGAGCCAATCAGGGCGCAGTATAGCACCAATTAAACTACAACTTTCCTCTAGTTCTTTAATGCTTCCTCCCCTCACTATCATGACCCCAATTCTACCTTACAAATCCGGCTAGACCAGAGCATGTACATTGATACAGATAAGAGCTGGAAACATCGGGAATCCAAGACAGATAAACCCCTCAGGACCAATAATGAGAGTAGCAATACCAGAAGAGCAAGGGGAATATGGGGGATAAAGGGGATCCCGATTACAATGATCTACATATAATGCCCCCCAGGGGGGATGGATAACAGAAAAGTGGGTGAAGAAAAATAATAATATATAAATTATCAAGGGTTTATGAGGGAGGGAGAAAATGAGCTGATACCAAGGACTCAAATAGAAAATGTTTTGAAAATGATGATGGCAACAAATTTACAAATGTACTTCACACAATGGATGTATGTATGGATTGTGATGAGTTTTACGAGCCCACAATAAAATGACAAAAAAAAAAAAGAACAAAAGACCAACCCCAAACAATAAACACATTGGATACCTAAAAACGCCTAAACAATAAATAACTTTTAAAAGTCAAGAGCTGTATGAACCCCCAGTAAAAGGATGAAAAAAAGAAAGAAAGAAAGAAAAATTAAATGATGTAAGAGAAGATAGTAGGTGTTTAATAAATGACAGTGGATATGTTTTTGTTGTTAATTATGTATGGTATGTTTTTGATTTATGTAAATATAATGTGATTTAAATTAAACCTCCTCCACTAGGTTATAAGCTCGTTCAGCACTAATATCCATCACTTGGCAGTTTGCATAAAAATTTAATGAGTTAGTTAAGAAATATTTATTTGTTGATTGAATACCTTGGCTTTTGCCTTTACTTAATTTTAAAAAACAAGCATATGTAAAATATTTGATAAATGTTGTTTTGTTTTTAAATTCCTACAGATACTTCCTTATCCTATAACGCCAGTACTCTGAAATCTGAGGATTCCACCAAGATAATGTGATAGGAACTTCTTGTGATTTGGGGCCACATCCTACTTAGACTAATGCAGGCCTTCCAGCTTTCCTGAGAGCTGAGACAGTGGCACGGAATACTTGGTACTCAGCATTGGCAAGAATGCCATCTCTGCCTCAGGACGCGGGTAAGCAGAGGGACTTAAGCATACTACAAATTATAAATGTGTCGATGATGATGATGTCTCAGTTTTTAAGGATGAAAAACGAATGGGGAATTTTAAAGTACTAGAATTATAATTTTACCTGTGTGTGTGAGAGCGAGAAAGAGAGACAGAGAGAGAGAGAGACAGAGAGACAGAGAGAGACAGAGAGAAAGAGAGAGAGAGAGATTGTGTTTCCAGATTGGAATATTTTTATTTTATTGATATTTGGTTGCTTAAATTTCCTTCAGTTATTCGGAGACCTTCTCCCCTGGACCTGGATACAGAATCACCTTATGAAAATGCAATGAGGAAAATCAGAAAGAAGAAGAAGAAGGGAACTATTACAGCAAATGTTGCTGGGACCAAGTTTGAAATAGGTCGGTATGGGATTTTCATAATCGTTGGAAAAATTAGTTCAACATAGCTGTTGAAAATAATGTAGATGTTAACTTTGGAATGAATTTTAAATGCCTCCGATGGATTTTCCCCATGAGGTAGTTTACATTTCAATAAAATAGATCAGAATCATTAAAAGATTTAGTTGCCATTTGGATAAAATAAATGTATATGTTTTTCTTTAATAAATTTTAAACTAACATGAACATTAGAAATCAATGATTTTATCTTTAAATATAGATATACTTTAGAAAATGAAATCATTCAAATCCAGTTTTTAGTTGTAAAGTGAATTAATTTCTTTAAATTATTTCCTTTAAATTAATGTACCTTTGCCCACATTGAAAAACACATACCATGGGCATTCAAATAACTCTTCTCATTCTTTAAAAATCATGAGTTAAAAGCATTGAATAAAATTGTATGAACCTCGGGGATGTTAGGTTTCCATGCCCTCCCTAATCTTTGAGAAGCTCATTTCGATTTAGCTTAAGTAATTCACCAAACTTCATCTGAAATCAAAGGAATATTTCCCTGGAATCAAGATCTCCAAACATTGTATTTTAATATTCTCTCTCAGAAGTGAGAACTAAGCGAATTAGAGTGGTCGCATGAGGAAGGGAGTGTGGAAGAACAAGGATCAGGTGACCATCATAAAAGAGACTGGATGACGCTGATGTTATTTCCTCCTGTTGACTCTTAAGACACCGATGGGGTTCAAATTTGACCCAAAGAGGGGTTTTTAAATGCAGCTTTCTTTCCTTTGCCCAGAAATTTTTCTGCATTATTTTTCTTCATACTCATACCCATGCGTCTCTGTCGGTTCAATTGTTTAGCACAGTTCGTGGTGGAGCAGGCTTGGAGCCTTGCACGGGGACTGTTGGGAGAACACATAGCTTCCTGTAAAGGAGGGAATGAGCACATTGGGCCTGTGTCCAAAAGAAAACGCTATCTTGCTTTCCCGGTATTTACCCGAATGAAACCCAGTAGCTTACTTATTGGAATCTCATTACTGTTCCCTTGGCCAAGTGAATCATGTGATGGAAAGGGAATTAGGCTGTAGTAGGACACACTCTTTAGCCTGGTGTTGCCTTTGTGTCCTGATATAGAATATTCTGATTGCTACTAGCTTTAGTATTAATCTTGGCTGTTGTCAGATGCTCTCAACTCAATTTTCAATCACAGTGCCTCCTCACATGCAAAGATGAGAACTGTTGTTTCATTGTCGTTTCCAGACTATAATTTTTACTGGAGTAGAATGCCGGGGTTTTCTCTTGTGGCGCCTCTGGGTGGGATCAAAGCAGCATCCTTTTGTTTTGCAGCCACGTGCTTCTTAATTCTTTATATGTGACCAACTACTTTCACATGTTATCCCTTCACATCTTAATATTTTTGTGAAATAGACTCCTGTCTTCCCTTGCTCCCTCCCGAGTCCATCTTCCCTCACTCTAATAATGACTTTTATGAGGAAAACTGATTGGAGGCTCAAACTTCTATTTTCTACATTCAAAAGGGAAAAATAAAATAGAGAACTATAAAAATAGTGAAATAAGATAGTTCTGTGATGAATCAGATCTAATATAGCCAAATATATTCCAATGAGACCCACAGTGTTAGAAATGGGAATAGATTTAGTTCATAGTTCCTTGGGCACAATAGCCAATGTTGAAACATCATTGATGATAAAACTCACAGTTCTTTGAAGATGAAGTACTGGTTTTTCAAAAGAAATGTTCTGTTTCTGAGTACTGACAGAAGTTTCGCTCATAGTTCCACATTGAGACAAACTTTTTGCATAGTAAAATATTTTTTACAGATATTCCTTTAATTTAAAGGTATTCCTTTAATTAATACATTAGTGATGTTTACATTATTATGTTTCATGATGTTCCTTGCTGGAGACCAACAACCTAAAGTATTAGGATTAAAACAACTGAAATTTAAGATTAGAGAGAGTGCCTTCACCAAGTTCACATAGCCAGCAAAAGTAGGACTACGAACCGGACTGACTTTGTGTCTAAATTTGGCAGTGTTTTCATTGTTTTATGTTGCCTAAATAGAATAAGAATTGAAACTTGAAATGAGGCATTTTGGACTGTCTGCTGCCTCTGAAACTGAGAACGTGGTTACATGTATCTCTGCTATTATAGCTCAACAGTCTCTGAAAGTTCTATAGGTTAGGCAAAAGCAAACAAAATAGGAAACATTTGTAAGGAATGTATTCTTTTCTATTTGTAATTTTCATTAAATGAGGACAAGGAAGATTGAGCAGGGATACCTAAGTCTACAAACAGACGAGAAAACGAGATATAGCTATCCCTATTTTTTCAATAGGAAGTTTACTTGGTAGAAATTGAATATTATAATTGGCAGGCCACCTCTTTTTAAAGGGATATTCCAAATGACCAACATTTAGAAGCATAGACTTTAGGCGTTCTCTATCAGCAACCTTTTATTTGGAACGGATGTACAAGAGGGTATCAAAACTGGAGGGTTTTTTTTAAAGCTTTCTTTTTTTTCACAAAACAACCTTATCACCTTCAAAGTACTCTCCACTACATTTAAAATATTTGTCAAATCTACGATCCCATTCTTGGAAACATTTTTAAAACTTATCTGTTTGGATGGTTGACAGCACCTCCCTCATTTTTTTCTTCACCTCTTCTATGTCGTCAAATTGCTGTCTTTTCATGCCCCTCTGCATTTGCGGAAACAAAAAGAAGTCACTCGGAGTGAGTTCAGGTGAGCAAGGTGCGTGGGGCAAGACAGGCATGCTTTTTTTTTTTTTTTTTTGCCAGAAACTGGTGCACTGAGATGGCTGCGTGAGCAGGAGCATTGTTGTGGTGGCAAAAGCAAGTCCCCTGTCTGCTACAAATCAGGCCTTTTCTGCTACACACTGTTTATGCACTTTTTAAAGAACCTCTAAATAGAAAGCTTGATTAATAGTGTGACCTGGTAGAATGAACTCCAAATGCACTATGAGTTGACATTTTTGTCCATTTGGGAAGTTGACAAATGTCTAGAATGAGGTGTCACCAAGCAAAATTTTACCTTTTTTAAAATGAGAAAACTGGAGTTTCTCCCATAGGGCTGCCCTTATAAGCAGTTTCAGCGGCATTTTTCCCAATCAGGAAAGAGAATTTCACATCTACAGTCTGTTCTCTTAAATTGGCCATCCAAAAAAAAAAAAAAAAAAGATTAGCTAAATTGCTTTACAAAAAAATTTACTGTGACCAGAGAGAACCTTCCCAGGCTATGCCTCTGGGTGCACTAAGTCAGGGCAAGTTGCTGGATGCTCACCTAGTGGGGAAAATGCATACTATGAAAACACCGTTTTGCCTAGTGCAACTCCAGTCTTTTTTGGGTACCCCCTTATAATTTAATGAGTGCTTTTTTATGTACAGGAGGAAGATGGCCTACAAATGATACCAATTGATTTTAAAATTTCAGTTAAAACAAAAATAAGTTAACATTGCTTAGTTTGAGAAAGTGATCATTTAATTCTGTCATTGCATTTTTGCTTTGAAATTGAGCTTTAAGTTCAGCTTTTCAAAGTTTGAATTTCATAATAGAAGGGATTTATATATGACCTACTTTACAAATATAATTTTATGGGTCTAAAGAGAGTGCATCGTTCCCACAGTTCTTACACAGCTTGAATATTCCCAACCTTCACTGGCTTGTGTACATATGAATTTCCAAATTTCAATAGCTCATTTGGCCACCTCTTCAAGCTGCTGCAGGAGTTCTGCTTTGCACAGCAAGGCCTCTCCAGCTATTTCTGTGAGCCCACAGGCAGTATGTCTTAGATTCTCTGGACTAAGTCTGTTTCTGAGCTCCTGTTCTGGCATTGACTAGGTTTTCTTTCTTTCCTTTTTTTTTTATGTCCTTAATCATTTATTATTTTTCCCCCCTAACAATTTTTACATATCATACAATTGAATGATTCAATAGTTCAATCATATCAAGGAGAAGTGTGCAGTCATCACCACATCAATTTTAGAGCATCCCCTGCCCCATTGTTAAATCACCTTTAAAATGAGTTGTGTAATCACAATCCATTCTAGTGCTCACTCTCCACTCCCACTTTCATTATACTCCTGAAATACCATTCCCTCCCATTACCCACCACCCACCCCTGCATTCCCTATAGCCTCTTGTATCAGTTATTCTCATTATGCATCAAAGCTGAGAAACCCAACAGAAAACAATTAAAAACAAAATTGCTCTAAGGTGGTAATGATAAGGTCGTAATAGTATGAAGACAAAAATACAAAGAATGCATAAGAAGGAAAAGACCCCGCCTACATTCAAAAAGCCAGGGAAGACATTTCTGTCATGGAATGAGTAAGAGATACTCGCCCCATGAAGCCTTTAGGTTTTCTGTATGTGAACCAGATAAGGGTGTCTTTTAGGTTGCGTCACGAGTGCCCTTGCCATCTGTGTGATCCCTAGGTCTCTCGGAAGCACCTGATGCCAAAGCTGTGTGGTGGTCTTGAGCAGGGTCTTGTGTTTCATATTGTCACTTGGGCATCCAGCTTCTTCAAGGTTGTGACGCGAAACAGCAACTTCAACTCAACAGTTTCCTCCTCTATCACATACACACTTTCAACTATGGTCTTTTTCTTTGATGGCTTTTTTTCCAGACACGAACACAAAAAATCATCTCTTCCCACTTCACCTAAAAAGCAATCAAATGCCCCCAGGATTACTAGCAGAGGTCTAGTCAATCATCTCTTACTGGCACAGAAGTCATTGTTCATTGACCCTTCATTATCATTTTTCCTCATATAACAGAGTACCAGTATAAAGAAAACATTGAAAAATAAAACAAACAAACAGAAACATGTAAATATGTAAATACACGCTTCTGCTAAGACTCAATATTCGATTGGAACTTCCAAATTATAAAAAGCATTTTGCTCTTTATTTTAAGGCAAAGATTTATTTGGCAGAAACGTGTCTCCATGGTTAGTCTGAATCTAGGGGAGCACATCAATAGTTTGTACTAAAAAGAGATTTTTTTCTGGGCATATAGAATGGAAGGGAGGAGGCCTGCAAATCTCTTCTGTGAATTCTGCTTCCTTATGCTTCAGTCCGAGTTAACTCAGGTGACATGATTTCAAGGGCTAAAAATAATTTGAATGAAGGAGGTGGAAAGAATAGGCTAGATCCAATGACCAAGGGCTATTTTTACTTTTGTCCTTTTGTCAATAGCCCAAAGTCACAAAAAAGCTGCAAATGTGCATTTCCTGAATAGAAGTGTTGTCTCCACAGTTTGTTTTCATCATGCCATAAATAATTACCACACTCTTTGGCAGTTTTCTGTCCCTGTTAAATCTTCGATGACTGAAACTAAGGATTTGGGGTGTACCTTCAGAAGAACTCTCAGTTACTATTGAGTAAAATTGAACCACAGAGAAAGCTGTTGTGATTAAGAATAAGATGATGCCACAAGCAAATGATTATTCTGCAAATGTATAGCATGAACTAAAATATTTACATAGCACAAAAGGTCAGTGACTACATCTCAGAGTATTTAAATTCGGATTTCATTTCACTGTTTATTTGCAGTTCGTTTAGTAATAGATGAAATGGGATTTTTGAAAACGCCGGATGAGGATGAAACAAGTAACCTTCTATGGTGCGATTCTGCAGTTCCACAGGAAAAGATTTCAGAGCTGCAAAATTACCAGGTGGGAGATTAATTATTGGTCATGAGAAAAAACTATATGAATTCTACCATAATTTCTTTTAGATGGGGTTTTTAAACTGGTGGCATATTAAATTTCAGTTCTCACTCACTTGATTTACCTATTTTGTTGCTATTCAGTTGTACTGACTCTGCATGAAGCCTGCAATCTCTTCCACTTCAACTTTTAACCTCTTTCTAACAATAGAGAGGTGAAAACTCATCCAGACTGCTTTGAATTACTCTTAAAAGAAATGATGTGTAAAAAACGAGGTGGAATAGATGTTAGGCAATTGACATTTTGCATAGCCTTTCTTTAGCTACTAGTGTAGATAGCTGCTAGCATATAGGAGGAGCCCAGGTGGTGACGTGATTATGTGTTGGGCTGCTATCTGAATGGGTGGCAGTTGGAAGCCGTCCGTAGCTCCTGGGGACAAAGACTGGGCTTTTACTCTTGTAAACAGTTAGAGTTTGGAAACTCACAGGGCATTATTTTGAGTCAGTCAGCATTGACTCAATAGCAGGGAGTGATAGAAGGTAGCACACAATCGACTGAAGTAAAATATATATGTTCATATTCTATAATGTCTATGTGTATGAATATAATCTAGAATATTAAAAATAATTTGGACACTGATTTACTATATTTTCAGATGTTTTGAACTTGAGCACATATGTAAATATTTTTTAAATGTTTAAAAAATTTTTTTAAATTACAATTTTAATCTCTGATAACCATAGATTCTTTACTTCAGCAACTTCATTGTAGGTCATTGGATTTTAAATTAAATTTGCATGAACAACTACCAATTTATTTTAAAATATAAAATAAATGATTTAACTGTACTTTGGCATAAATGTGTATATTTATTAAATCAATTAGAGCATTAACTTTTACCTTTTTATTTTTCAGAGAATCAACCATTTTCCAGGAATGGGGGAGATCTGTAGGAAGGATTTCTTAGCAAGAAATATGACCAAGTAATCTTTATTTTCTTATAATACAGAAGATCTGTTGAATATTTATATAATAGATATGATATTGCTCTCTTTCACAAGGTTGAATTGATTTGAAATGCTATTTAAATGAGAGATAGACTCTTAGAGATAGAAGTTTTTAGTAACAGTTTTATTTGCATAGACTTCACATATCATACCATTCTATAGTTTAACCACATCAAGAAGAATTGTACAGTCATCACCACAATCAGTTTTAGAAAATTTCTCTGTTCTTGTACTCATCATTAGCTCCTCATTTCCCTCTAAACTCCCCTGACATACCCTCAAGGAGCCACTAACTTAGTTACTGTCTCTATAGATTTACCTATCCTGGATTTCATATGCATAAAAACATTAAAAACAAAAAACAAAACTAACAACACTCACAAGGTAAAACATGAAATCCTCAATCAAAAAGAAAACAGAAAATATTAAAAACAACAGACCTTAGTCCCTGCCTAAACCTCACAACCTAGTGAGGGAAAAACCTAATATGTAGAATACAATTTGATCTGCCATAATATAAGTAGAGGATCAATGTGTAGTCATCACAAAGGTGGTCAGATAGATCATTTTTGGAGGAGCAAGGAAAACTTTCTCGAGAAGATAAGGTATGAGATGCATATCGAAAGATGTATAGGAGTTCACCCTTTGAGAAGAGACAGGAACAGAAGTAGGAGCAAATAGGGAGACTTGACCCAATACAATGTGTTTGGGATTCTAATGCTATACGATGTTGGAAGGCTCATGAGGATGTTGGAGATATATTTAAAAGCCAGTACATGTATTACTTGTTGTATTTTAGTCATTCATTTAATTATTCACCTAGTAATTGCTTTATCTTCTCAATAAACCTTTAATCTTATCCTGAGAGAAATGAGAGGTTATTAAACAGAATGAAGCAGAGAAATAATATGCCTTGGATAATGGATTGGACAAAGACAAGGGCATACGGAGAAATCCCTCTGAAGAGATGGTTGACTGGTGTATATAAGAAGCAATGAACCATCTAAAGCCAAAGAGATAGTTGGAATTGTGAAGAGAAAATCAATGTAAGAGATATTAAGGAGGTAGAGTTTACAGGGCAAAGCTTCTTAGATTAAGCCAAGGTTTGTGGTTTAGAATATTGTATAGGCAGTATGCTTTTCTAACAAGAAGACATATGAACCTCAAAGGAAAAGGAATTATCTCTGTAAAGTTTGGGGCATGTATTTTATTTAGTCTATGAGGGTCCATGGAGAAATGGAATTAAAAGATAATGTAAAATTACGACAAAGTTTTTGAAGCACCCTCATATGTGTTTTATTTAAATTATTAATTACGTAGTTGAGACCTGATGGGTCTGTCGGGTACATGTTGGACTACTTTGTTTTTGCCCTGTTTAATCTGAGGGTCAGCAGTTCAGATCAGCCAGCCCCTCTGTGGCAGAATGCTCCCATTAAGATTTACAAAACCCTGGAAACCCTACATAGCAGTGGTTTTCAACCTTCCTAACGCTGCCACCCGTTAAGACAGTTCCTCATGTTGTGGTGACCTCCCCCGAACCATAACATTATTTTCATTCCTACTTCATACCTGTCATTTTGCTACTGTTATGAATCGGGCGATCCCTGTGAAAGGGTTGTTTGACCCCCAAAGGGGTCGCGACCCACAGGTGGAGAACCGTTGCTATATAGGGTTTCTCTGAGTCAGAATTGACTCAATGGCCATGAGAACTAAGCCATACACACCTACTATTGTGAGATAAGGCAGGATGGAGCAACATTTTGTTCTGTTATACACAGGGCCCTTCCGAGTCAGAAGTGACTTGACAGAAACTAGCAGGAATAACATATGGCAGGCACTGTGCTGAGTTTAGAAGGGACCATGATGGCACAGAGGGTTAGCCATTGGGCTGCTAACCACAAGGTCAGCAGTTCAAAGCTACCAGTTGCTCCTTGAGAGAAAGATGAGGCTTTCTTTTCCTGTAGAGTTACAGTTTCAGAAACATTCAGGGGCAGTTCTCTTCTGTCCTAAAGGGTGGAAATAGACTCAACTCAGTGGCAGTGAGTGAGTGCTCTGTTTGGGCAGATGAGGTGATCAAAAACAGATGATAGCACTTAAAACAATAAGTTGTGATTGTGGTGAGTGCTGAGAATTATGGGTGCAGAAGACTCAGTAGCAGAGGGAGTTACTAATTTTGAATAAAGTCGGAAGTTCAAAATTACCAGCCAACTGCTCCATGGGAGGAAATTGAAGCTTTCTACTCCTGTAAAGAGTGACAGTCTCTGAAATCCACAGGGGTAGTTCTACCTTGTCCTGTATGAGTGAGAAGAGATTCAATGGCAGTGAGTTTTTTATTTTGTTTTTATATGATAGACTTTGAACAGAAATCATCCTAGATTCCAAAATCTTAAGTCCATTCTCGTCCCTTGCTGCCAGTCATGCTCCTGGGACAGTTTCTTTGTTCTCCAATGTCCTGTTTAAGCCACCACTTCCCTGTAAACTCTTGGATGCCATTGGGACCTTGTGCTAATGATCTTTGTTTTCGCCCTGCTTAGGACTTAATGCATGTTCTACTTAAATTATAATTTTTAAAAAGCGCTCCCTAATGGTGACACCTGGAGGAATAAAAATCATGTATAAAAATGACACCCGCCATTGAACCAAGTCCTATTTTCCCACACCCATCATGAGGCAGAATGAGTGACTCTTTATTCTTGTGACTTAGAGGACCCCGGTTGCATAGGGGATTATGTGTGGGGTTGCTAACTGCAAGGGCAGCAATTCAAAACCACCAGTTATTCGTGGGGGGTGGGGGGGAAGATTTTGACTATCTACTCCCATAAAGGTTTACTGTCTAGGAAACCTGCAGGGTCAGTTCTATTCTGTCTCTATAAGAAGAGTTCACTTCATGGCAGTGAATTTGTTGAGTTACACAGTATATACTTTTTCTTTCTATTATAGAACTTATAGTATTAAAGTTAGAATAAAAATTTTGAATGAATATATCTAACACCAAACTTTAAGAAGAACAATGGATACAAGTTGATTATTTTTTCCTTCATTCCATGGTTTAGTCCTATCAATTAGAGATTGTGGTACCTTATATGCTTTTATTGTGTATGTCATGTTGCCTTGTAATCACTAGTTCATCTATGCTCCTAGGACCAGAGACCATACTAACTCATAATCTTCATATCCCCAGGACCTAACACATAGGATATACTTAAATATTTGCTCTATAAATATGTAAATTCTACAAAGGTAGAGCTTTTTGTCTTTTTTTTTCTGACTGATATTACCCTTGGGTCTTGAGCATATTAGGTGTCTAATAAAAAATATTGAATGTGTGAGTAGGTAAATAAAAGGACGGAGAGAATTTAAATCTTTGTGGGAAACACCAGTAGCAAAGAGAAAGAAAATTTTAAAGAGTTTGAATATAAATTATTTTCATATTATGTCTAATTAACAGAATGATAAAGACTCGGCCTATGGATTATACCTTTGTCCCTCGAACATGGATTTTTCCTGCTGAATATACTCAATTTCAAAATTATGTGAAAGAATTGAAGAAAAAACGGAAGCAGAAAACTTTTATAGTAAAACCAGCTAATGGTGCAATGGGTCATGGGTAGGTTTATTTTACTTGTTATATTCAAATGAACAAAAAACCTGAAAAGTAAATATGAGCATATTCTCATGGTTGCAAACCAATACAAAAACCTAAAATAGGCTTCTAAGTATTGGTTTTCTGAACTTGAATGTTTAATGAGCCATTCTTTTTACCTTGTCCCATAAGCTTTTGATAATAAATTTTAAAGCTACAAATCAACAGGTTGTGAGTATTTAATGAGTTTATAGCAGTGGTTCTCAGCCTGTGGGTTGCGACCCGTTTGGGGGTTGAATGACCCTTTCACAGGGGTCGCCTGATACATAACAGTAGCAAAATTACAGTTATGAAATAGCAACAAAAATAATTTTATGGTTGGGTTCACCACCACATGAGGAACTGTATAAAAGGTCGCGGCATCAGGAATGTGGAGAATCAATAGTTTATAGGCTAGGGGGAAAAAAGTTGTTTCCTATTGTTTTTGAACTTCCAATTTGCAGTTATATTAATTTTAGAGCACGTTTGGGAGAGTAAAATTAGTTGATATTATAGAACTAAATTAGCTTGGAGAAAATGGAATGGGAATCACTCTTTCTATAACTAGAAATCTTGAAAAAATGTATTTTATTTACTTTGCTTTCTTTTATATAGCTGTACTAATTAGATTAAAAATAAGTAGGACACATTTAAAACTGAAGGGTTGGGAACTAAATATATTAGATGAGATTAGAATGTGAAATTTATTATTTCTATTTCCTTTTTCTTTCTAAAGTTTAGTTAATTTTCCATAATGTCTTTCTTCAAAGAAAATCTGGCTGAAACTGCTTTAATAAAAGCACAAAGGCATGATTCATTTTGACCTTTGATGTACAAGTAGTGGGAGAAAAGATACTTTGAAATACAAGGGGTAGCCCCCACAAACAAGAATTTTGTCCCTTCAAAGTAATGTATTTAATTTTTTTTTTTTTTACAAAACAACCTTATCACCTTCTAAGTACTCTCCATTACACTTAACACATTTGTCAAATCTGTGATTCCATTATTGGAAGCATTTTTCAAACTCATCTGTTTGGATGGTTGACAGTACCTCCCTCATTTTTTCTGCACTTCTCTATGTCATCAAATTGATGTCCTTTCATGTCCCTCTTCATGCACGGAAACAAAAACAAGTCACACAGAGTGAGGTCAGGTGAGTAAGGTCCATGGGGCAAGAGAAGCATGCTGTTTTTGCCAAAAACTGGTGCACTGAGATGGTTGTGTGAACAGGTGCATTGTTGTGGTGGCAAAACTAGTCTCCCATTTACCACAAATCAGACCTTTTTTGATGCACACTGTTATACAATCTTTTCAGAACCTCTAAATAGAAAGCTTAATTAACAGTCTGACATGGTGGAACAAACTCCAAATGCACTACAAGTCAGCATTTTTATCCATTCGGGAAGTTGACAGACATCCAGAACAAGGTTTGTCACCAATTGACATTTCACGTTTTATGAACTGATAACACCATTTATACACTTGAGTTTTCCCCATAGTACTGTCCTTGTAAGCTGTGTTCAACACCACAACAATTTTGGTGGCATATTTCCCAAGCAGGAAACAAAATTTATAACTGCACATTGTTCTCTTAAATTGGCCATTACGAAAAACAAGATTAAAGCAAAACTTTTTTTTTAAATCACTTTATTGGGGCCTCATACAAGTCTTATCACAATCCATACATGCATCCATTGTCTCAAGCACATTTGTCCACATGTTGCCATCATCGTTTTCAAAGCATTTTCTTTCTACTTGAGCCCTTGGTTTCGACTCCTCATTTTTTTCCCCTCTCTGCTTTTACAAAAAAATTCACTGTGACCAGAGAGAACCTTCCCAGGTGAGGCTACTGTGTGAACTAACTCAGAGAAAGTTGCTCAATTCTTGCGTAG